ATAAAGGGTATCTTTTTATTCCTATATCATAATCTGATTCTTGTAGATATACCACATAATTATCAGAAATGACATGTTTTCTTTTCCTTTGAGATCTTCTCAAATCTGCCAATTGTGATTATTCTATAAGATCATCAGCGGCGACATCAACATCATGTGAGAGTTCTTCGATGTTATTTTGTTGTTCACCCTCATCAATACTATCATTGATTTGAGGAACAATAATCTCTCGAATAGGAGATGATATGGGAGAATTAACCTGAATCTCCTCGATATCAAAATTAATCCTTCGAGATTTTTCACTCCCATTGATTTTGTCATTTTCAAGGAATTTTGCATTACCATATTATACTATTCTCATACTATGATTAGGGCAATAAAATTTGTATCCCTTGGATTTTTCTGGATAACCAATAAAATATCCTGAAATAGTTCTTGGATCCAATTTCTTTTCATGTGGATTGAATACTCTTATCTCTGCAGGACACCCCCAAATATGTAGATGTCTTAAACTAGGCTTCCTACCAGTCCATAACTCAAATGGAGTCGATGAAACTGACTTACTAGGAACCACGTTCAAGATGTACATAGCTGTCCTAAGAGCTCCACCCCACATCGACTCAGGTATAGAGGAATAACTAATCATGCTCCTAACCATATCCATCAGAGTACGATTTCGCCTTTCAGCAACACCGTTCTGTTGTGGCACACCTGATAATGCATATTGAGCACAAATACCCCGTTGTTCTAGGAATATAGCAAAAGGGCCAATATTCTGACCAGATCCATCATATCTGCCATAAAATTTACCACCTTTGTCAGATCTGACAATTTTAACTTTTCTATCTAATTATCTCTCAACCTCATTTATGTATACTTCAAGAGTATCAATGGCTTGTGACTTTTCATGTATTAGATAAACATAGCCATATCTGGACAGATCATCTATAAATGTGATGAAATATTTTTTCTCCACTAAAACAAGGAATATGGAGTGGTCTGCAGTTATCAGTATGAATAATCTCAAGGAGTTCTTTACTTCTTGTGGCATTTTTCTTTATATGTTTAGTTTGCTTTCCCTTAATGCAATCTATACAAACATCAAAATCAGTGAAGTCTAAATGTTCCAAAATATTATCCTTCACTAATCTTTCAATTATTTCCTTGGAGATATGCCATAATCGTCTATGCCACAATATAGAAGATCTTTCATTATTGAAACTACGTTTCAATCCAACATTTGATTGCATGGTCATTAATGTTTTTGCAAACTCAAGATCCAAATTAATTCTGTACAAACCATCACAGAGAATTCCAGAACCAACTTTTATTGAATCATAAAACATACTGAGTTTGCCACTACCAAAAGAAAGACAATACCATAACTCATCAATTCTAGAAAGAGAAACCAAATTTCTAGAAATTGTAGGGACATAACATGTGTCAACAAGATCCATTAAGTGACCCGTCTCTAAGCGTAGATGATAAGTTCCCATTGATATCATTTTCGCTTTAAGACAATTTCCCATAATGATGAATCTTTCATGTTCTTTTGGTTTTCGAATTGAAAGAAATCCTTGTATGTTATTTGTAACATGAGTTGAAGCACTAGAATCAATCCACCAAGTGTTAGAAGGAACTTCTGTAATGTTTGATTTGAAACATACAAAGGTCGAGTTAATACCTTTCTTTTTGAACCAAGCCTTGCGTTTAATGCAATCCTTCTTCACGTGTCCTTTCTTGCCACAAAAGAAGCACTTTACAATAAATGCTTTCTTTTCATTAGTCCGTTTAACATTTCCAAACCCGACAAATTTCTTTGATTGATAATGCTTCAACTTTCTTTTCTTATTACCAGCTCCTTGAGTGGTGGTCATGACATTATGTGAACTTTCCTACCTTAATCTCAATTCTTCCTGAACACACATGCTAGTCAACTCATTCAAGTCCCACTTATCCTTATTTGTGTTGTAGTGAATCTTGAATGGGCCAAACTGAGAAGGAAGAGAATTGAGAATAAATTGTACGAGGAAAGATTCATCAACATTCATGCCTAATGTTTTAAGTTTTGCAGCTTTGTCAGCCATATTGAGGATATGATCCTGAATTCCTCGAGTACCATCATACTGAGTCGTAGTCATTTTTTCATTAATGTGCTAGCCAATGATTTATCAGTAGATTTAAATATATCTTCAATAACCTTTAAATATTCCTTTGTGCTAGTTGCAATCGGTAATGAAGTCTTTATGTTATTTGCAATTGTCATTCTTATGAATATTAAACTAAGTCTATCAGATCTTTCCCAAGCCTTCATTTTATTTACTTATTCTACAGTACTTTCATCAATAAGTCTGTAGGCTTTTTAATAAATAATGCTAAATCAAGATTTAATACACCCAGTGTGAATTGCACATGCTCTAACCATTCTAAATAATTTGATCCAGAGAGTACAGGGACACTTGAAGCATATGAATGTATATGCGGAAGTATCACTGCAAAAATATAGAATAGCATTAATGCTTTGAGCTTGTCAAAAATTGATGAACTATTGATATCATCTATATTTCACCTTTGGGTGAAATATTGACATATCTAGTGTTCACTCAAGAATATTTATGGATGACTGATATCATCCTTATGGAATAGTGTTGTTACCTTTAGGTATACAACCCTAAACTACAAGGATATCCAAAAATAGTATCATCCTACCCCATCATATAATTATTTGAATTAGATTCTCCTTTGGGATTATCTAAATCTCCTAATTATATGTGTCATTATGAATATTATTTTCTTAATGTCATTTAGGACTAATTCCTTAATATTATTTTATAAGTCATTAGTCCAGGTCACTTTGGTGGCTACAAGACTAATGCAATAATATAAAATAAAAATGTCTTATAAATAATAAAACTTTTATTGTAATTCATATCACAAAAGTCTATCATCCTAGGCCACTTTGGCATATACTAGTCAAATAAAACTTAGGGAAATGAATTACAAATAATATTCATCAATTTCTTTAATTTTTGCTAAGCAATTCAATAATAAAATGACCATAATAATTATTGAATATTGATGCTAAGCAGTTCAATAATAAATAACAATAATAATTATTAAACATTAATGCTAAGCAATTCAATAATAAATAACAATAATAATTATTGAACATTAATGCTAAGCAATTCAATAATAAATAACAATAATAATTATTGAATATTAATGCTAAATAATTTAATAATAAATAACAATAATAATTATTAAACATTAATGCTAAGCAATTTAATAATAAATAACAATAATAATTATTGAACATTAATTCTAAGCAATTCAATAATAAATAACAATAATAATTATTGAATATTAATAAAACTCATATGATAATCATGATAACATATAAATCATGCCTTCATGTGAAAGGTAAATATTTTTTCATAATTTCATATATATATATATATATATATATATATATATATATACATGTGAATAAATAAAT